CAGTTGAATTCAGTAATTTCACATGTCTTAACATCTTCCTGCTGTAGATGTCACCACATACTCTGAACTGTATTGCTTCTTCAAAATGGGATCGTCCTTATTCCAGAGAAGTAGCAGCCTTCCCCCTGGTGAGTAAACGATGGAAACCTAATGACTTGGTAATATGTAAATTTGCCATCTGCTCTGTGGTCTTCCTTCTGATCTGTTGTAGAAGAACTAATCTTGATAGGAGTAACAGCTTTAGAGCCTTTTTAATGTTGTTGAATTTTAAGTGTATGAGCTCTACAGCAGTCCTATTAGTTTTGTTTTTCAAGTCAAGGAAAAAGATTAAAAAAACCAAAACTCTAAACATGGAGTGCAAATTCTGATTTCCAAATCTCAGCATTTCAATACTGGATATTCTTGTTGGAAAGCAAGTTGGAATTCCAGTCAGTTCAGAGCCTCCCAAAACCACCCCACATCATGTTCAAAGCTCTGCTCCAAAGAACTTAAATGAAGGTTTGACAAGATGCAAGGGCCACACAGGGCAAACACAAATGTGAGCCAACTACAAATAAAGGCCAGATTGGAAGTGGACATGTCAAACATCTTGAGAAAACTACCTAAAATTGCTTCCAAAATCTTAACAGATGATTTAGAACTTAACTATATGTGTAACTTTTCTCCTTTGAAACCAAATTGTGTCTACTTGATTAGTATTTACTGCTTCAAAGAGGAAGAATCTAATTGCACTGTGAACTTTGCTGCTCAATACAAATTACCTGAAAGAAGGGAAAAAAGCAAGGTGGCACAGATCTTGGCATCTCCTCTGCTTTTCCTTGTTTCCTATCTGTTAGCCAGTTAATCATAGGACACAGTTTGTTTGTGTTTTAAATCCCATGATAACTGCTTCTTTGCAAGTCTTTTTTGGACAACCTGGTTACATTCTTTGAGAATCTAAATACTGTTTTGACTGCCAGCTCCATTCCACGAATACTTGTTAACAATTTCAGGAACTGCAAACAGATTTGGGGTATGACTTCACTTTAAAAATGCACTTCTCCAGGCATTACACCTACATAAATTTCCTTGATATGACAGATAAAATAACTAGTCAATTCTTTTTCTGTATTTAGCCTTTTGTGAAGCCTGAAAGCAAGTTTTGGCCCACAGTTGCTCGCATTGATGACATATATGGAGATCAACATCTGGTTTGTACCTGCCCACCAATGGAAGCCTACGAATCTCCCTTTTCTGAACAGAAGAGAGCATCTTCGTAACACTGCCTCCAGCTGCCTGATTTTCTGAATCCATCTGGATGGCTTTTTTCTCCCAGACCTGATAGGGGATTTATATACTGTGTATATTTTGTGTAATCTCCACATTTTTTAATTGAATCACTGCTCAGTTAAAATGTAAATACAATCGGTGTATTAGGTGTAAGTAAGTGAAGTGTGTTAGTTCCACAGCAGTTGATGTTAAAGTTGCCTTGACTCAGGCTAATTTTTAACAATTTGTGCTAAAGTTTTAACAAATTACTATAGCATTTTCAAAGCAGTATGGAAAGTATGTTGCAAAACAAAAAAGTAAAATAGATGCCGATACTTAAGGCAATAGCAATAAACGTTAACTGCAGGAGTAATTGTTTATATTTTGTAAAAACAGATGAGGTAGATGATTGTTTTATTTACATCACTGATTACCACCAGCCTTGCTAGTGTTAATATTTCTTACCTGTTTTTTATCTACCAATGTTAGTATTGCAATAAAATTGGTCAGTTTTAAGTGTTGTCATATTTTGGATCTTAACTTTTGATGTAGATTTATCTAACAGAGCAGTATGAAAATAAGGCCTGTTTTAAGTTCTGATTTGTCAGAACTGCCACAGTAATCACAGATATTATACAAATTAAAATACTGTCAGAGATTAATATTAACAATAGATCTGTTTCTCATGAGCTAGCTAAAATGATCAATCTTACCTTCTTCGATATCATATCAATTTTTCCTTGTACTTCCTCTAAAGGTTATCAAACAGCTTTTCTGAAATATTCTGAGTTTGGGTTAACTTGTCTAAGTATGCACCTTCTATATCTCAAACCCCTTATCAAATTTGAACAGTGGCTTTAGTTTAGGCACTGCACTCGCCTTGCCTTGCCTTGCCTTGCCATGTAAGTCTATGGCTTGTATAAAAACTATTATTTCAAACTCTCACTCTAGCCCTTCACGAAAACAGAGCACCCGGAGACCAGATCCTGCTCCTGCACATAATGCCAAATTCACTTGAAAAGTATCCCAAATGTAAACCTTAAATAGGAGTATTTTATAATTTGTTCTCATCATTTAGCCTTAAAAGTGAAACTTACCTAAAATTAATCCTACCAGTTTCACAGACAGTACACGTGAAAGTAAACTAGTGTATTTGGAAGGAACCTGAGAGCTGTTTTGTGCAGATACAACTGAGTTTGCAAGTGACAGACTAGTTCAACCACATGAAGCAGAATTTTGGTCATCAGGACGGTATTGTGGAACCATTCAGAGTGGGGAAAGGCTGTACATTTCTGTGCTCACTGAACAGTAACTAACTGCTAGAGCTCTTTTTTTTTAAGGTGTATTATTTTAAGGCACATAAATGCTTGGAGGCTTTCTCTGAAGTGGCTAGTGTTTATAGCACTGTTTTAAGTAAGTAAGTATGCTACTTTTGTGTCCTGTATAGTGAAGGTTTTGCAGCTTCCCTTCTTTAGCTACTTCATAACTTCCATGAGGGATTCAACAGACAGCCTGCAGATAACGGGAAACAGGAAGGGATTTCATTAAAGGAAGCTTGGGCCAGAAACCAATTTTGATTATAAAAAGCTGCATCTGGGTCTTAAGATGTCTAAATATATAGGTAAGAATAGTAGTAGATTCTACATTAAGCAAGTCTACTGAAAAAGGCATTTTTAATAGCTAATGATATAGCACTAAAGGGGTATAAACTTGTGATACACCACTGCAAACTGTACTCCAAAAAAGTCACTCCAGTGTTTGTTATATGTCAGTTTTGCATAGCCTGATTGTGTCTGCCACTGAAGAGATGTAAAAAAAATTAATTTTTAGTTCTGAATGAAGAATTCCCCATGACTTGACTTTAAACTGACAACTTGACAACTAGTGGTAGATTAACAGTAAGCGCAAAGAGATCATCCTGCATTAATATGAACCAGAAACAACCACACTTCCTAATCAACAAGATTCACTAACTCTTCTGAAAAAGAAAAATAAGTAAGTGCTTAGACCAGTTTATTGGTAAAAATAATCTGAACTATTCACCTTCTCTACTCACCTTAAAAATAAACAAACACAGAAATGTTCAGAAAAAAATATTGGACATGGTTACCAACCTAAATTTAAAGTGGGGGCGGGGGGGG